AGCCACTTCAACGCCTTCTATTTTGAGGTCGCCATTCTCGAACCATATTTTCACACCATCTTTTTCCACTCCTGGCATGTCAACCCTGATTCTAGCGGCTTCTTCATCACTCTGCAGCTCAAGAATGTTCCTGTTTCCAGCTTTCAGGAAAGGGTTCGCTGACCAAATAAAAGAAACTCTTAAAAAAACATAATCAGAAACATATCAAGAAATCACACGTTAGTGGTAGAATTAGTATGTATGTCATTATTAGTCATTACCATAGGGAAGAGTGCTTGGGTTGGAGATATTATCAAAGCAAGATGCCAGTGTTTCAGCCTCAAAATCTGAGCCGGAATCAGATTCAGATTCTTGAGAAAGAATAGTACCGGTGGCCTCACTTTTGGCCGAGAGAGGGGTGAGAGCAGTGAAGCTAGTAGAAGAAATGAGGCTAGGCAGTTTGGAAGGAGGTGGCAGTTCTGTCACCAGATGCTTCTTGAAGAAGAAGGAGGTGGCAGTTGGAAGGGTTGTGAGGGAAGCCATTGATGATGAAGATGAAAAACTGGAAGAGGGTTTCTTGTTGTAGGAACGAATTTGCTTGCAGCGAGTAGCCACGAGAAGGGAGAGTATTAAAGCAGCTGGGAGAACCGGATCAGAGAACATATATGCATATGACAATTTTTTACTACTACAGTACAATCGAGAAACAGATAGGGATGGGGAAAAAAAAAGGATAGAAATTCTAAAGGAGTATGATTCCAAACTAGTGAAAGTAAGAGTAAAAGAAGTATAGAGACAGTAGACTTTAGTTCTGCCACTGTTGTGCTTCGCTTTTTAAGTTCACAATCTGGCACCGCTGGTGGTACCAAGCTGGTGGTATGCTTGGAGATGGGAGCGTCTGTTTAGTATTGGCAGCCAAAGAAAATTAGATGATTAGTGCTAGAATTCAATGAATGGTAAAAATTTGGGGAACTCGTTTGGATTGATATTTTCTAGAGTTTTTTTTTTTTTTTTTTTGTAAAAAAAATGTAGTATAACACGTATTTTTTTTGGAATTCTTTTTGTAGAATAATGTACTACATTCTTGAACCCAAGTTTCAAGCCTCCTCCTCCAAAAATATATGCCCATGTAAGCTTTTCTTGATTTACTAATTTACTCGAGAGAAAAACCAGAATGAAGATTTGATCTGCTACACACGCCGAGAGAGAGAGAAAAAAGCAATAATGAGAAATAAAATACAGGAAATTTCCAATACATCATCTTTCTTTGAATTAAAGAGGCAAAAAAAACAACATGGAAGCTACTAGGACACTAGGGTAGTACTACATCAGAACGTTAAACTTTGCCGGAATCATATCAAACACGAAAAGTTATAGCAGTACAAGAAGATCAAGGATCATTGGCTTTAAACACAGTTGTCATTTTGATGATCATGTTCGTAGGATCACTCTTATCCAACTCATAAGTGGCCCTCTTGACAAGCTTAACAATGCCGAATTGCCTAATGGTAATTAACATGGAATGAGCCCTCCCGGCTTTCAAAGCTGCCTCCGCTTCACCCCTGTATCCGGACGATTCAGTAGTGACTCCACTTTCGTCCACCGACTCCAGAGTCTTGTAATCCTCCTTGTCCATGTCAGTTTCGATTATAACTGCAGCACTCGAGCGAGCGGAGGAGCAGCGGCTGGTGGTGGTGCTGGTGAATCTGGTGACAGAGGAGATGGGGGTTTTGGTGGGGCGGCGAAGGAGTAGTTTGGTCAAAAGGGGCATGGTGACGGTGGAGTTGGAAGTTTTCTTGAGAGCCAATGAAGACGCCATTTTTCCCTTTCGTTGTAAAAGAGCAGTAGTGGAGTGGTGGGTTTTTTTTAGCGAGTCTGGAGAAGTGGTGATTTTAGAGAAGCTGCCGAGAAATGAGGAGTGGGCTGTATTCAGCATCCATAGCCATACACTTGGCAACAGAAAAAAGGCATGATAATAAAGGAAAAGTCTGAAGTAACGAGCGTTATGATAACGAAACTGTTTTTACCTGATATAACAGATAAAAACACTTTTAGCGACCATTTGATTACCTGTTATACTGGTCATCTAAATAAAATAGTACCTAAAAATATGGTTAGTAAGTTTTACATTAAAAATAGTAAGTTAACTCAAGAAATTAGTAACTTTTATGTCTCAAAAATTAAATTTGAAGAAATATGGAACTTACTTTTTTTTTGAAGTAGATAACTACTCTATATCTAAAACTTACTTTTTGGAGCGTAAGTTTAGTTCAAATAATAGTAAGTTTTTATAGACTAATAGTAAATATTGTTGATAGAATAGTAAATTTGGGTTAATCATCAAAACTTACTAGTTTATGGCATAAATTTACTATTTTACTTAAAGAAACTTATATGGAACAAGTATTAGGAAGTTTATTTGAAATAATGCTAAGATTTTTTATTAATAATTGAAACTTAGTATTATAGTTAGTAATTACTCGTAATGTAAATGTATGATACACAATTGTACGTATCATTTATAAATGTTATATGTTTTAAGCATTTTAAATAAACTATGAAAACTTTTTTTTTGCATATGACCTTATAAAATATGTAAGAATAATTTGTCATATTATAAATTTTGAATTATTTTTGAATTTGTAAAAGGTTAAAAAGTTTGGATGACAGTAAAAAAAAATCTTTTGAGTTATATATAGAATTGCACTTATCTATACATCACAATTTCCATATATGGACACCGATGAATATAATAAAATGGTACGCAATTTTCATATATTAATGCCTATGAATTTAATAAAATGGTAAAATCTTAATAAATTTATTTTCTGGGTCACAAGTATAAAAATTAAAGTTGTATTAACATAGAATAATCTTTGAAAATTATAGTAAAATTACCCATATGTTAAGTTTTGTGACTTTCAAACATACTTTGTATCATTTACATTATGGATTTGTATCCATATGTTTTCTATCAAACTCTTTTTTTATTGGCAAATGGTAAGTAAATTATTATAAAAGGGCATTTTATAATAATCATAATTTTTAATAGATGAATTTTATGTAAACTGTTAAAATTATGAATTCACAAACGACTAAATCTGACTACTTTATGACACATATTAGTCTAAATGACTAAAAAATTACTGTAATCATGTACACGTTGATTGTTGAATTGAAATTTCTTTTATTACTAGTACAAGTTCTTCTAATCAAAGCAAAATAAAATCAAATATCTTTTCCTTTTGTATGCAATAGTTATGCTTAATAGAAAATTATTAAACCATTTTTACAGTACATAATTTCTCCTAAAATTTGTAACATTTACCATGACCTCTAACCTTGACATTGTTATTTAATTTACCTTCTAAATTTAATTTAATTTTCTTATATTAATTGTTATACTAAATTTATAATTTTTGTTATTATATTATTTCTCATTTTGTTTAGGCTTTTACTCTTATTATTTCTTGTGTCTCAGATGTAAATTTATTAAAACTTTATCATCTTATTATATTCATAGGTGTTAATTTATAAAAATTTTGATATATAAACAAGTAATATTCTATATATAACTAGGAAGATTTGTTGTTATTATTATCCAAACTTTCAAACTTTTCAAAAATTGAAAATAATTAAAAACTTATAATACGACAAAATTTTATTACATATTTTACGAGATTATGTGAAAAGTCAAACTTTTTTCCATAGTATTTTAAAATATGTAAATAAATTTTTTTAAATGTTAACTATAATCTTGTATTATACAGGTATATTATGAGTACTTACTAACTAAGGTACTAAAAATTAATCATTAATAAAACATCTTATCGTTATTTCAAATAAATTCCCTAACACTAGTTTGAAATATGTTTTAAAGTAAAATAGTACATGTGTCTCATAAATCAGTAAATTTTGATTATTAATCAATTTTACCATGTTATCAGTAAGAATTACTATTTATGTATTAAAACTTACTATTACATGAATTAAACTTACACTATAAAAAGTAAGTTTGGGATATAAAGTAGTAATTTATTTATTTAAAAAGTAAGTTTAATATTTATTCCAATTTACATTTTGAAGTATAAAAGTTACTAATTTATTACTGTTAAATTACTATTTTAGATGGAAAACTTACTTTCTTATTTTTAAGTGTTATCCTATTTAGGTGGATAGGCCTATCAAATAATCAAATGGCCGCTAAAAGTAAATAAAAAATAAATCGAAAATGGTCATATAAGTGTTATCCTATTTATGTTTCAAAAAGTAAATCGAAATAAAAATGAAAGTTACTTTTTTTTAAAATTAAATTACTACTCTACATTCGAAACTTAGTTTTGTGGGGAGTAAGTTTAGTTCAAGTAATAGTAAGTTTTTATAGATTAATAGTAAATCTTGTTGAAAGAATAATAATTTGGTTAATCATCAAAACTTACTAGTTTGTGGCATAAATTTACTATATTACTTAAAGAAACTTATATGAAACAAGTATTAAGAAGTTTATTTAAACTAGTGCTAAGATTTTTTTATTAATGGTTGAAACTTAATATTATAGTTAGTAGTTGTTGGTAACATAAATGTATAATAATGATTGTATGTTTCATTCATAAATGTTTTGCGTTTTAAGCATTTTAATAAATGTATGCATCATTTATAAATGTTATGTGTTTTAATAAATTTATTTTCTAGGTCACAAGTATAAAAGGTAAAGTGATCGTATCTAATGTAGCGTAATCTTTTAAAATTATAGTAAATTTACCCATATATTAAGTTTCGTGAGTTTCAAATATATTTCGTATCATTCACAATATGGATTTACATGCACATTTTTTATGAAACTTGCTTTTAATTGGCAAATAGTATGTAAATTATTATAAAATGTCATTTTATGATAATCATAATTTTTATAGGTGAATGGAATAGGTGCAAGATCTTGATACTGTACTACAACACAAATTTGGGGATAAGTACAAGTTTCAGGCATCGTCATTTGAATTTGACGAATCTCCTAACATTCCTAAACAACCGAATGGGTAACTTTCATTAATGACGTTTTAAAGCCTAAAAAACCGTGTGCTGAGTATTGTATAACATGAGTATTTGAGTTGCTTTTCGAGTTCTGCTCATCAAGTAAGCCAGTCCAATTTGAAGTAAACAGCAAAATCTACATGCACAAGACATTTGATATGAAATTGGTATTTCAAAATAGGAGAAAACGGCTCATTTTGAGCATCAGAATGAATCTAACTTTTAATAATTGATACTTACGCATCAAAATTAAGCTGGCAGGACACTAGATATAGCTATCTAAGCATGACAAGATTACATGGCCAAGAACTGAATTTAGAGCACAAAGACTTTGGCTTCAGAAATCTGAAGCAATCAAAAGGCTAGTAACTTGATTTGAGAATTTGATCACCAGCATCAAGGGCTCTGATATCACTATCAAAAGCTTCAGTTTGGATTGACATTTCTGGTTTACAAACCCAAGAGCACTTGGATGCTAACAATATCTGAAATTTGATCACCAAACTTTTTTCCAAGCAAGCTGAAATTATTCACATTAAAACAAGTAAACACCAGAAATTGCAAACTAAGGAGATTATGTTCAGATTTACAATCAAAACGCATTAAACTACCTTCGAAGAAACTTAAATCATCCTAAAAGCTTTGAGCAAAGACGTGCAAAAACATTTGTACTCTCTCAAGAATAAAATTCCTTAATGGTCTTGGCTGAAATCTGGTTCATTCACTACAAAACCATCACAAGATTTGTATTAAAAAAAGGCCACAACAACACATAATCATAGCAAATAAATAACATAAAACTTAGGCGTGAAGAAGGAAAAATGTACCTGAATACTTTTCATCTCCTAACAAGCTAGTGTTTTGTACATGACTTTGGATTAATGAAGGATTGCATGCCCACATTAATGCCTATACAAATGCAAATAGAGCACCATTATATTTCATGCCTTCACACAAAAATAAATAAAAGCAAGCTATACATTACCTGACCAGGAGGAATGATCTGAAACCAATTACTATCCATTAATTCCTTATTGCATCCACGCTGTGAATCTGATTGCAATAGGCCATCGGATGATCCTATCAGATTCAAATTTACATTCTCAACATTATTGGGTGCCCCAACATGATCATAATTGTGAGTTTCATATGCATCTGTGCACACTTTAGTACATTTTCGTCTATCATGTCCAAATGACCTGCGGGAAAAAAATTGCCAAGCACAATCCATAAACAATAAGATTGAATTTATAAAGGCGTATATGAAGTGTACATATATAACTAACATTTTTGGCCTTCTAACATAAAGCCAATGAGTGGATGAAATTTAGCATTGCTCATTCATATCTGGTTTTGCAAAGCTATTCTAACCGTAGAATAAGTCAATTTTAAGAGTAGGTGATTACTTGCAATTTTTGCATCGTCTTCGCTTTCGCTTGTGAGTGGACTGTTTTGCCTTTTGTCCCTTTGTAGCAACAACAATTGGACCAAGAGAAAGTATGGACCAAAGTGGAAACATTTGCCTGGGAATTCAATCGTATCGTTGGAATTGAGAACTAAATAAGAAGAAGACAGATGACTTTAAAGAGATAGGTGATACCCGAAAGTGTTTCAGGAACCCAAAACCGTTTTCAGCAACCCAAAATCATTTTTAGAAACCCGGTGATTTTTTCACTTAAATATGTAAATTTTTTACTTTTAGTATTAGTAAGTTTAGTTTAAACATAAGTAAATTTTGTCAAATAATAAGTAAATTAAATTACTCAAAGTGTAAATTTCTATTTCTGACTAAAACTTATCTTTCAGGCATATACTTACTAGTTTGAATTAAAAACTTACTTATCTTCTCGACTTGGCAACCCGTTTCTTTTCTAGGTATTTTATGAATAGAACTCCATTCTCTCTATATTACAAACCATCATCAAACTAATTGAAAACCTCAATTCTCATATAAACCATTCATCTGAATTTTGTTCCAATCAACCCATTCAACAGATTTATGTTCCAGTCTAATCGTTATAATATAGCAATGGCATTAACAAGCTATTTTGACTCTCCCGGTAAGGGTTTACGTATTAGTAATTTTTTAGGAGGAAGATGAGTTATTCACATGTCCAAAATATCGAAACAACCAGCATAATCTAATCCTTAGTTCAATGAAAGTCACAAATTTGCGGGTAGGTAGATTAGATTATGTTGAATGCCTTTGGCTCTTTACAATGAAATTCAAAATTTTTTCTCATGACAGAGCAAAGACGGTGATATAATTGATTGTGTCTATATGTATCAACAACCAGCATTTGACAATCCTTTGCTCAAAGACCACTGGATTCCGCAGGTTTGCCCCATGCAACACCATTCAAAAGAAAAATAAACAAAAAAATGCAAAAATATGAAGTATGTATAACACCATAATTGATTGATGGTCGGAATCTATGAATTTTCTCTCCTTTCCTGACTGAAGAAGAGGGAAGATGTGATTCTACAAAATCTACATGTATCATAGGATGGTAATAAGAATTGCTTCTGCAACACAGATTTACAAGAGTAATAATGGCTAAATTTCCGTGGCATTGCAGACGTTACAATGGAGTAAAAAATTCAAGAGGCTGATAATAAATTTCCATAGAAACAACAGATTCGCAACAATGATTCTAGATCAGTTCAGTTCAATAACATATGCTCCATCAAGCGTATCAACTTAGAATTCCAAAACGGGAGAAACCTCTCTTGCCTGAAGAATTCAAGTTATAAAGCTCATGTTGAGTTACTAATATATTAGTAATTCTCACCCGCACAGAGTAGCAATCACAACATACAAATTTCTCTTTGACATTTCACCAAACATCTTATATGCATTCACAAATTAATCACATTTAACTTAAACGCCTGGTCTCAAGTCCTTTCCTAGATGTTTCACATGGCTATTAAACATATTTTACCCGTAGACAATCAAAACTACAAACCATTTCCTAGATGTTTCAACGGACATTTTCGGCCCCAAAATTGCAATAAAATCTTCAAATTCTCAGCCTTGATTTCCCAAGAAAATCTTGACAAACAAAACAAATGAAATATAAATAAATTACAGCAATATAATCAAACGATTTCAAGAGAACATGATGATCTAACCTCGTCACTGCTATTTTTCATATGCTCTTTGGCTGGCTACCACCGTCGCTAACCCTTTTGTTGTGTTTGCATATGACATCACTCAAACCCAACCGAACGATGAGAAAGGATAGAAGCAAAGTGTGAACTAAAGATGAAAATTTTGAAGTGAGAAGATTTATTCAATTGTAACAAAGAGAAAGTGTGGATCAAAGTGGAAACCTTTGCCTGGGAATTCAATCGTATCATTGGAACTGGGAACTGAATAAGAAGAAGGTAGATAACTTTAAAGAGAAAGGTGATACCCAAAACCGTTTTTTTACTTAAATATATGTACATTTTTTACTTTCAGTATTGGTAAGTTTAATTTAAACATAAGTAAATTTTGTCAAATAATAAGTAAATTAAATTACTCAAAGTGTAAATTTCTATTTCTGACTAAATCTTATCTTTCAGGCATATACTTACTAGTTTTAATTTAAAACTTACTAAAGTTAATATTAATTATTTTAATATAATATTTAAAAAGTCACTAAAAGATTTGATCTGTCACTAAAGGTAATAGAAACCTATAATAGCAGGTTTCCCTAATATCGTTACCATAACTATAGGCACTGTAGCACTGTCCGATAATAAAATGGTTCATAGGACAACTATCACTTTTTTATACATTGCCGTAACTAAACCAGTACCTTTCCTTAACACGGCTTTTATGGTTTTCCATGACAAGGGTAGAATCATCATCTCTATAGAGTCTTTTGATGACAAAAGGCAAAGAAGAAAAGAAAAGGAATTGCAGATGAGCTGATTCGCAGGTCTTGAATTTAATGTTCATCGTCCCGTCCGTCCTAGGGAAATTGCGCAAGCAAACAAACAAAGGAGAGCAACACAAAGACGGTATCCAGCTGTTGGATTCTTTTCTTCTTTTTTTTTTTGCTTTTTACTTTTTCACCCTTTCCCTTGTAATGAAAAAAAATTCAAGTTAGTAAATAAAAGTATTGTCAACGGTATTGAACTTTATATAAAACTATGGCACTTCGTATATGGCGCTTTTGAAATACAAGGTTCTAATAGAGGACCAAATTAAGTGCCCTTGTCCGAGCAATAATTGTGTGATGTTTTTTCTTTTTTCAACAATAATATTTTGAGGAATTAGCGCACTTTTTTGTTGAATGCTTGTCCTTTCATTTTTTGAATCTGTATGCTAAAATGAGGGAAAGTCCAACCAATTCATTTCCCATTTGTAAGAGTAGTATCAAAAGGACATCTAAATTTCATAGATTGATGATTAGAGAACACTGCACTACAATTCAATAACTCCCTTATAATAACCCCCCAAAATAGTTAGACCAAAACTCATGTTTTAGTGAGACTCAACAGATACTTCTAACTTTTGAGGTTTTAATCTTGGTTATTTTGCCACTAAAAGTTAATTTAGTTACTAGTGCAAAACATCACGAAATTCACTAATGCTACTTTTGGATCGAAGAATTATATGAAAGTTTTGTAATCCTCTCAAATCCTTCTAATTGTTTAGATTATTTAAGAGGTACATTTAGATTGCTAATTCACCAATTATTTCTGTGCTTAAAATGCACTTTAAAAAAATTAGTAAATTACAAACTCAAACGTCTTGGGTCAATTTTAAATCTTTCATCGAATTTTTAAAATCCAGACGAAGTTTAATAAATTAGCTGACTATAGACAAATTAAGGGTAATTAGTTGAAGATCACAACTCACACTATCGATTCAAGATCTTAGTCATACACGTGGCAACAGAAACCAAGAAAAGCAGAAGAGGCTAGCATGCACTTCAATAATTGATAATAGTAGTTTTTTTTTTTAATTCCAAATGAGAAAGCCTTCTTGTTGCAAGCAAAGTGACGCCAAGCATCCTCCTATATTTGTGACACACTCGACCGTCCTATTCTACAAACAAGAAAAGACCTGTTCTGCAGACAGGGAAAGAAAAATGTGGATTTTTTTTTTTTTTTTTTCGACACAGGAGTGTTCGGGTTAATCCTTACGGGGTCCGACTAATTCCCTGCGGCCCGGGCCCGGCGCCCCAACCCGGTCCGAACACGTTAAGTGCGCGGAGGAATCCAGCGTAGCGGAGACTCGAACTTGTGACCTCAAGGGTCACTGGTGAGAGGCGCCGCCGCTGGACCATTCACGCGGGGACTGAAAAGAAAAATGTGGATTGAAAAGGATAAAATGAGCCAATCGGAAGAACCCAGGATTGATTTTGCATGAAATCAGAAATCTTTGAGATGAGGACGTGAGATACTAGTCACACTGAACAAAACCCAAGTATCATAAGAATATAAACATTACAAAATTCAGAAAACATGAATTCTAGTAGAAGTGAAATCTTTTATTGCTGTAATGTGTTGATGGACATAGGAGGAGATGTAGGATAATTAAATTCAAGCAGATCCCTTAAATTTCTTGGCAATGCCTGCAATGTATTTGCCCTGGTGGAAAGCAATTTGCAGCTCAAGCTCAGTTGGCTGTCTGGAGCCATCTCCGGCGAAGGTACCAGCGCCATATGGGCTGCCACCCTTAACCTTCTCCACCTCGAACATTCCAGCTCCAGCAGTATATCCAATAGGAACAAAAATCAGCCCATGATGAACAAGTTGCGTGACGGCTGTCAATCTACAACATTGTTCATCAAGAATAATTTAATCATTCATTTTTATTTCCAATATACTGGAATATGCTTTTCACGTAATTCGTGTACTTACGGGGTGGTTTCTTGGCCGCCTCCCTGAGATGCAGTGGAGTAGAAAATGCCAGCAGGCTTTCCAGCCAGCTTTTGAGCTCCCCACAAGAAACCAGTTGAATCCATAAATGCCTTGAATTGGGCAGCCATCATCCCAAATCTAGTTGGGAAGCCAAATATGAACGCATCAGCTTCAGGGAGTTCATGGGGAGTAATCACAGGGACGTCACTCTTTGGGGGAGCACCCAACTTTCCAAGAATTTCCTCTGAAAGAGTTTCTGGCACCTGTTACGAGTTATTACTATCAGCTGCATTAGCATTTCCTGAAACAGTTTCTTGAATTCTCTCTCTCTCTCTCTCTCTCTCTCTCTCTCTCTCTCTCTCTCTCTCTTTTCCCCCCTATGAGAAACATATGATTTCTAATTTGACTTGGACATGAACATACACATATTTCTCATATTAATTTAATCGCAGTTTTTTAGTTAGAACTGTACCTAATCCTCTGCATCTCCACAACAGAACAGGAGCATTTATTGATATCATCCTTCTATGAAACGTTATAGAAAACAACTAACTTTGAGTCCATCAATAACTTCAAGACAAAACTTTCTGAACTTATTGCCTGCCAGATAGTAAAATCTGCAGAAAACAAAATTGCGTTGATCTACACAATTGCACTTAAGATTGTACCTGCCACAGTTTTGCCTCCACCCCTTCAACAGAATCAGCTCCCTTCTTGATCTCATGGGCAAGTTTCTCAACATGTCCATAGGTAGAGTAATAACTGCAATCCGGAATAAAAAAAAATTAACATGTAGAGGTCCAATTGGAAATAAATGACTTGAAGCTTTCAGATTTAGAAACGGGGACAACACACATGCTTTTTTTTTTTTAAACTAGAGAAATAGAAGGGAACATAAGCAATTTGTGCATCAAACTTCATGAGATATCCAATCTAGAGTTGAAAATCATGCAGTCCTGTATATTCAGAAAAATAGATGTGGGTTAAAAAAAAAAAGTGTTCTTCAGACCAAAATATTGTGCATGACTTGATACAGTTAGGCGATTCAGCCCAGAAAATAAGATAAAGATAGCATGAACTGCAAAAAATCCAGACACTTGAAAACGAGTAAAAAGGATGAAGAGAGTAAGCAAAAGCGACGGTACACAATGTAGACTTTGGTGGCCATTGGATTAAGAATCTTCTTCTTGATGAAGAGGAGGACCGCTCTTTATTTGATTGTGTAATGGAAGATGAATGAAAGGTTGGAAGAATGGAGAATAACAAGGGGCACCTCCCGCCCGTATTATATAGTGGCGCCTGGGAGTCGATATTCATTGTTTCCTTAATTACTTTTCTTTCCATAATTAATGTTCAGTGATATGTTTGTTACACCTACAAAGTTCTGAGTTGTCTCGATTAATTTGATCTGTCATTTGTCCTTTCTTTTATGTTATTAATGGAGCCATCGCTTTTTTCTTTCCTTTTTTTTTTTTCCATTTTGATAGAACAAAATCATAATGGATTCTATTACCATAAAAATGTTAAAAATTATTTCTGTCATATTAGTTGTTCATAGGCATTTATGTTGGTTCAGAATCAATAGAAAAGAATCACGTTCCACTTGGAATGTTAAAATGAGATAAAATGAGACGCTTATATATTCACGTGAAACTTTTTCATTGGTTTGATAATAACTACTAGACATACTTAGCAATTACCTCCAAACTGACGTAAAATTTTTGGTGCAGCTACTATGGCAGTATTTTCCTTGTTCTTCAATGTGTTTCCAGCATTAAATGCTGGTTGGTAGACATTTTGTTCACACAATAATAATGTTAGCAACTTAATCAAGCAACCGATAAAATATTTTCCTAATTGTACGAGGATATTGATTTAACCGAAAAAAGGTTCTTGAGACACGGATAAGCTAATCAAGGGAAGAAACAATTGCATATTCCTGAGCAAGATCCAATGAATTGTAAATCGTCACAAGATGAGTGCAAAATATGTCGACAAAAAGTACAAAGAATTTGTACCAAAAGTGTGTGGAGATGACTAAGTTCATTCCGATGGGTCCTTAGTGTATTTGAAGTAAGTTAAGGCCTTCGCAATATTCCTATTGTGTACTATCAGTGAGGCAATGCATGAACTTATTGAACAGAATACATGAACTTATCGAACAGAAAACATGGCGAATTTTTAAAGGATCCGAACAAATAGTAATTAGTATACAGACTACAGAGACTGTGACCAAAGTCTGTATACAATTTTCTCTTTTCTGCCCAGCAAAGGCAAAAGATCCAAATAAGTATTTGGAAAGGGATTTTCATCAAAAAAATCTCTATATTTTCATAAACATATTTTTCAATTATCGATTACCTTACATATATCTACAGTACATTTTCTACAAAATCTCCAAAAAGTTGCAATCCAAACACAGACCTAAATCTTCTCCCTACAACTAAACTTAGAAAGGCAAAGATACGTTTAAACTAGGGATGGCGGGCACTCACCCCGCGGGGGGCTAATGGGGAGGGGGAGTGTACCCCCGCCCCGCCATCCGCTTTAAAAAAATAAAAATATAATTATATATATAATATATAATTTAATTAATTACAAACTTATGGTAATGATATTATTAGTTATATGTATTATATGATGTCTATTAGTATATATAATATAATTGATATTATTAATTATACTAATAATTATATATGTGTACTAATACAAATTATTAATTGGTTATACTAAATTTACTTATACATTTATACTAAATCCCTAATTACACTTAATATAATAACTTTTTTTTTTTTAAAAGCACAAGTACAATAATGAATTAGTGATTGTATTTGTACCAAAAGTGAAAACTTGACTACTTTAATTATATTTATTTCATCATGTTAGATTGTATTCAAATAATTTTTATTTGATTGTTTTTATAAGTTTCAATTGTAAAATTACAATGAATAATAATTTGATGATGTGTTGATATTTTATTACTTGATTATTTGCTAAAATTTAACCATAATAAAATTATATAACAAATTTTTATTAGCCCCATGGGAGCGCCCGCAGGAAAAACGGGGCGGGGGTTGGGGCGAAGGGGGGGGGGGGGGGGGAGTTTGTAGGCAGGGCGATCCGCGCCCGTTGCCACCCCTAGTTTAAACTTCTATCTTACTCCAAAATGTTCCCACAAATATAAAATTTTACCATTTGGGAGAAAATGTTTATTTGAGCCCGCATAAACCTGTGATTAAATCCATCTTAATGCCTCTTGTTGTTTTGTCTGATACACCATCATCAAGACTACATGATACTTACTCCTCATATGTCAAGTACTGTAGACAAGAATTGATAGACCAAGCCATCATCATGATCTATCATCAATTTTACACTAATATCCAAAAGATGACCCCAGTAACCATCACAAAAGTAGCTAAACATAGCTGGAATCGAAGAGCAGAAGGCACAATCCAACTGGGTTTAACCCCGGTCATATTTAGATCCAGGTTGATGCTGACCTAGCACGAGAATCCTCAATATCCCATGCCTCATCTTGGGCTGAATCTCCTCAACCTTGAAAAGACTGGGTTCAAATTCTATGTTGCCCCCGTAATTCCTGCCGGAAGTCTCAGAATCATCCTCAATCTCGCCATACCCTTTGTAGAAAAGGGTGTTGCTATCCTTATCCACCCAAGCCTTGAAGCCATCTTCTGCAACCCCCGGCATGCACAGCCTAAGGTACCAACCGATCGGGCTTACAAGGTTTATGATGGCCTCTTCTGGACCTCCAGTTTGGAGTGGATGGGCTATTTGATGGATCCTTCTTGGTTGCTCCTCATTGTAGTCTCGGATTGCAATTATCTTTGCTGGGTCTTCATCCGAGTTCTGGGGGAAGGAGGAGGGAGACGAGGAGAAGATCAAACGGGTGGTGGTCCTGGGGGTTGTGCGGCTGAGGAATCTGGTGAGTAGCGCGGTGGCCATGGTTGCTCAAGAGGCTTTGCTGATACTGCTAAGGGTTTTACTTTTTCCGAAAATGAAAGGGATTGAGATTTTGCTTATGCCGAGGCAGTAATTCTACAGATGTGGAGTGGACTGGAGTGGAGTACTAGGAACTCGGTCAAACTGGTCTTTATCAATTTTGTGTTGTCATAAGACAAAAACCACATGATAAATGGACATCCCTCTATTAAATTGCGGATTGCCAATTTCTTCTTTAGGCCGGTCAGGACTAAAAATCCAGGCTTCCTGAAAATGTCATCAGCGAGTGCATAGACACGCATATGATGGGGATTCATTCCTATTTGAATTGTTCTTGGATATCTTCAGATTCCCCTTTCCTTAATATAGAGTAGTGTAGATTTACGTGTCAGGCAAAAAAAAAAATTTGCTGATATGTTGGTACATATTTAAGATCTTGGCACTAGCTAAATTGGAGCCATCGGTAATTTTTTCTTAGAAAATTGAATTCCAATCAATGGATGACTAGATACAATAAGAGATAATAAACATAAATATATACTTTCATATGGTAATTTATATATATATGCACGAGTGCTCTTTGATCCCTTAGGGAATATCTTAAAATTTATGATTTATTGATGCACAAATTTGATGCTGTTGAGGGAAAATCCTTCATTAGGGTGCCTTTGGGAGCTGAGGATTTGAACGCAAAAGAAAGGAAAAGAAGAGAAAGCCTGATTTTCCTTTATTTATGAGTTTTAAGTAAGAGAGAAATGAAAGAAAATGAAAGGATGAATAGTGGACAAAATTTTTCCTCCCAAATTGGAGAGAAAGTTAGAGGAAGCTTGTAAAAAATTTTTAAAATACCTCTTTTATCCTTAAAAATACCTTGAACAAATATTTAATAACTTTCATATCCAAAATCATTCCACTAATTCTCAAAACTCCCAAACAACATAACAATCCTTTCTCTTCTTTTCTCTCCTCTCATAACTAAAGTTTTCCCTTCTTCTCTTTTCTATCCTAAACTGCCAAACTTAGCCTTAGAGACAGCACAGCGGGAAAGAGTGCTTTTTTGGGGTGTTAATTATAGCTACGTTTTATACTTATTTTGATTCGTCTAAACTGCCCCGCCCTAGGCACAATCTTTCACGTTAGTAGTAGCTTCTTACAATATCGGATAATTTTAGGGAACTTTCTGGCCATCTCCTTTCAATGCATTACTGCTACTTAAAAAGCCTAAAAGTAAAACACACAACCAAATGGAAAATAACACACATACCCCAAAAAAAAAAAAACTCAGTTGAAAAGGGGAAGGAATTGAGATGAACCCAGAAACCAATTAACTTTTAGCAATGATCAAGTACCCTAAATATATATAGATACTGTTGTAAAACACATCTAATCATTACTTTATCGGATGGAACCAGAGAAGTGCTTTCTTAGAAGAGTCCTCCAGTCCAGCATCTCAAATTCCAGTATGAAATACCAACATCCAAAAACCTCATTACAATTCTATTCTAGCCAGCAAAATACACATACGTAGAGGGCAACATTACAATTAAAAAAAAAAAGAAGAGGCCAGCAACAGCGGTAGTAAATGACCCTTTTAGTGACACTAACAGTACCAACCATATACTAAATGGTTCAAGCTGCCAAATTCCTAGACACAGTGATCCTCAAGATCCCATGTTTCATCTCTGACTTAATGATCTTCTCAACCTTAACTTCTTCCGGCTTAAACTTGATTTTTCCGGCATAAGTTCTCCCGGAGGTTTCACCCTTCACCATTAGCATTTCGTCTTCTCCGTTTCCTTCAACACACAGAGCATTTTCCTTGGAATCCAGCCATACCTTGTAACCCTCTGGGCCTACACCCGGCATGACCACTCTCACAGTCTTATGTTCCTTGTTGTCTTTTGCAGTTTTGATGGTGACAGCCGCACTCGGACCTGCTGATTGAAGAGGGTTCAGAACGCACCACGCATCTGGCTCAAATGCGCTCTGGGGTAAGTCTGGTGGGAGGCTGCTGCTGTTGCTGGTGCCGCCGGAGGAGAAGGAGCGCCGGCTGGTGACCATCCAGAAAGATGAGACGGTGGCGCTGGATAATGGGGTTTTGGGGTGGAGGAGATTGGTGATAAGGGTGGAGGACGCAGTGGGTGCTGCGGATTTTTTGACGGCGAAGGCCAACAAGGAGGATGCCATTTCTCTCTCTGTCTCTCTTTTTTTGGAGAGCGTAGAAAAAGGGTTTCTGGGGTTTCGTGAAGGGAAGGACCGGAATTGGGGGTTGGATCGCCGGACTACATTCAGACATAACGCCGTTAACTGCTGTATGCAGTGCGACGTTGTAACTTGTAAGCAAGAGTAGGACTGTACCTCTGTATTTTACAACCGTACACGTAGCAAGTTGAGAGTACTTGGTGGATAGATGACAGGACTCAGACTGGAGATTTTCAAATTTTGTTTGGTTGCCATTTCATTTTTCTTTTGGATTTGAATGGGTAATTTTGAGTTTTGGGTTGTCAATTTTTTTTTTAAGCCCAATGACCAAGTAGTACATATTTACCAGTTGTATGAGTGCAAGATTCTCGACCTCTTTGCATTATTAGTCTACTTTTATCCATGGTTTCCATTTTTAGGTCAATGTTCATACCTAAGATTAAAGGACTAGTAAACAGCTTGTAAGAACTTGATGGCTATTTAGTTAGGCTTGACCATTAGCTTATTGATTAGTTTAATTGACAAAGGAAAAAAAATCTAATTTGTTTGGTAGGGCAAGCAATCTCAATCTCCCTATTATAATTTTCCTTAATTTGTTTTCAAGCATATGAATTTAGAATAGAGCTCCTGATGATATTCAAACATTTCCAATGGCTGAACCGAATTAGTGCTAGCATACTTGAAATTAGAGTTGCTAGGTGCTAGCGAGTCGAGCCACACGCAAGTCAAATGCTCGAGCTTGAGTAACTTCATGCATATACCAAGTTGAGTTCGAGCCTCCATTTGTGCTCGTCGATTAAATGACTAATAAGGGCTATTCTGTGCTCATTGATTATTGGTATATTATTTAAATTATATTTTTATTTTTATTATGAAATGATTAATAAGGGCTAATGTTTTAGGTAATTTACTGTAAGTGTTGTCAACTTAATAAAACTCATAAATGGTAAAAATGTAGTATTGTAAAAACTAGATAGAAATGAGGATTTTAGATAATTTACCATAAATTTTTGTTTTTTTTAACCTTAGAATTTGTTAAGACCCAAGTCTCAAGTCTTGAATCTTAACGAGTTGAGATCGAGTTTGGAAATGCATATTGTCGAGTTGAGTCGAATTGAATTACATACTCGCTTGAGTATGCATATGTAAAAATGCATACTCACTTGAGTTGAGTTGAAACTCAAGGAGGCTTGTGTAGCATCGAATTTGAACTTGATTCCAATCGTTAACACCACTACTCGAAATACATATCCACATTTCCCCAATAAATTTCAACTAAGAAAACAGATTTGATGGTTTCCTGTTCTTATGCGACAAATTCAGGATTGAGTCGTCATTAAAGGAGTGGGCAAAATTAAAGTTTCCCAATATTAAAAATGAAAAAGGGCTGCACAAGACCAAAATTAAGACCATACCATAACTTGCTTGATTCAACTGTTTTTCTTCTCTGATTCGCCACTATGTCTTGTAGAATACACCTATGTATGTATCCTCAGTAGACTACACTATAGCAAGCATGGATGCACATCTATCCATCTTTTGGAGTAATTAGTAATTACCAACAAAACACACACACACAGAGACGAATGAAATGAAATTAATCAGCTACTGCATCATCAACCTAGAAATTACAGCAACAACAGATTAGTGGAGTAATATTCACCTCTTCATTTCAGATGGAGTAATAACATCTATTTTTTCTACATACTCTGCATTGAAACGGATTAAACATCCAAAAAAACCATAAGCAAACTCTTAACTGAAACTAAAGGCCCTCCATATTGAACAAATTATACACCAGATTACTTCTCTTGGTCCTTCCCTCCCAATACACTATCAAGTCCACCGACATTAGGAATAATCATCTTGAGTATCCCATTCTTCATCTCGGACTTAACCTCCTCAACTTTACTAAAGTCAGGGTCAAATTCAAGGCTTCCCCCATAAGTCCTCCCAGAAGTTTCACTTTCAAGTTCAATTTCTCCTCTCCCAGCAAAAAATACAGTGTTGTTCTCCACCCAAACTCTGCAACCATCCTGGGCAATCCCAGGCAGGGTAACTCGCACAAGTATACCATCTTTCAATTCATCTACTGCCACCACGTCTTTTGGGCCTCCTGATTGAAATGGATTCTCCATCTTGAACTCCTGTGGCGACCCTTTAATTACAACTGTAGACCATGAACAAAACATTTCAAGTCAAAATACAACAGGAACACATCCGCTAGTAAGAAAATAAAAGGATGTTTCGTGGGTTGAAGGAAATACGAGGAGATTCCTGGCTGTTGCTGGTCTTTTCGCCTGTTTCGCGGGCCGATTCTGATGTTGCTGTGGTGGACGACTTGCCGGCGGACTTGGAGCAGAGGAAGCGGTGGGTCAAAGTTGAGGTGGCCGTAATAGGAGGTCTGAGGCGGAGGAATCTGTTCAAAAGAGTAGAGCCGGTGGTAGTGGTGGTAGCTTTTTTGACGGTGTTGCCTACTGCCGCAGAAGCCATCTCTCTGTTTTTCCTCTTCTAAATTTTTTTAGTTTGGATTTTAGTTTGGTTTGGTCTGCTTCGGGACTTAATGAGGGTTTACGTGTTTCACGAAATATTTATTTATTCCAACAAATTTTTTTTTTTCAATTGACTCGGGCACTACGTTAATTTCTAGAATAATAGCCTTGGGTATAATATAATAAGCCCAATGTTAGACACGTACCATACCACAGCCCAAAGTGCCGATGCCCAGTAAACAATTTGTAGTCTTATCAATTTTTTTTTTTTAATCGATCACGAGTTGTTACGCTTACACTAGTCTTACTCTAACTTATCTAGCTGAGGATTCAACTGAATCAAGAGCAGTCAAAGGGAGTAATTCTCACTTCTAAATCAAATGGGTGCATTTTTGCACATGACCTGCAGTTAGATTTACGTCTTATGCTTCACTTGATGGTGTTAATTACCATACGATGAATTGGTTAGTATTAACAAATACCATAATTAAGATGCGATGCGATGCGAGCCATGCAAAGCTTGCACGGAATTTTGCTGCCGGGAATGGGATTTGTGGCTTCTGTGCTAGCATTTCATTTTCGAGCAAAGGGACGCCATCACCTCCTCCTCCAAAGGAAGGATTTGCTTATTCATTGTGGGAATTGATCTCTTACCAGCTGATACTCTGATCTCTAGGTTTGATGACGAGGAGATACCCAGACGGGTTTATATCTGGATTTTCCCATGAGATGAATGAAAAAAGAAAACAGAGAGAAAATAGAGACAGCAAATTCACAAGCCACACTGTCTCGAGCAGCTGATCATGAACTGTGTTTCAACATAATCAAATAGTGCAAGCAAGTCTCGTTTTGATTCCAGAAAATAACACGGTATAACAAAAACCAGAATGAGTAGGTCTCAATCCAGAGTAAGTATATATCACCTATTAACACCAGTAGCATACAAATATCAGTTGCATGCTTATAAATATAGCCTAATAACATCAATCCAGACTTGAGCAGCAACCACGCATTCCATCAAAAGCGCAATCACTTAGCTGTCTGACTCTATATTGATTTCTGTGACTTAATAACCATTCTCAGAACACCAGCTTTAATTTCGCCTTTCACTTCCTTGACCCAACAACACCCACACTGAAAACCAAATCTCCCAACATAGCTTCTTCGGCTGCCATCATAGTAGGAACCCTTAACCCCTTCACCAGCAAAGTAAACAAAGTTATCCTTGACTTTCATGGAGAGACCTTCCTTTGGGACATCAGGCATGTCAATTCTCATGAACAATCCACTGTCACTTTTCTTATCACAAGTACAGAGCCATTTCGACTCCATAGTTCCATTCGATCCAGCTACCTGGAAAGGATAAAATCCTTTAACCTCAACTGCACCACAAACATTAAGGAAAAAAAAAAAAACGAGCGTTATCACGTAGCATTAGCATTATTATCAACCAATGCGCTGTCACCCTTCATGACAAACAAACAACAGTGTAATGATGATTTGCACCTGGTGGGGCTATGAGGGGGATGCTTCTCAGCCGAAGTAACAAATTCCCAATACTGTGTTCCACATTCTGGGAATAATCAATTCCTGGAAAATGATTGCTAGAGGTAGAGAAGCCAGGCCGAAAACCAGTACCCTTCAAGACCTTTTAAAAAGAAATCAACAGGTTAGATATCACTGTTAATCTAAAGTATCAAGTTCAATGATCATCTGTTATTCAGTAATATATCAGGACACTGTAACCTGAACATTAGCATTAATTTTGAAGTTCTTTTCCCAGTTGACAGTGCGAACGAGGATAGTGATACCAACAGGCATGAATTTGAGCCTCGTCCTTCGACAGTAGCTATGGAAGTTCAGATTATCATACAAGTCTTTTAATTATGCTTCAGAAGGTCGGCTGAGATCTAAATCATGCCACAAATGACTCTTGCATTTTGATATGGATATACCAGAAAGATTAACCTGATTCTGCTGACAACTAGCTACTACTATTCATCAAATAACTTCTAACCAAGATTAGGATAAGCAATACTCAATATACTCCCATAAATGTACTTGTCCAGTCCAAAGTATAGAGAGATTGCTAGTTTAGTTTAGGAATATGAAGAACAACATCAATTTAACCCAGCAAAGCCAGTAAATCTACTCAGTGCACTGTGAGCTATTCCCGCATCACTACAGATATCACAACAGCTACCGTGGCATGCATTTCAGCGGTGGCAAAGTGGCATTATCTGAATCTAGAACAGGAAACCAAACATATTTATGCAATTATCTACTGGTATAACTTACGAAACCCACCAAAAAAGGGGAATCAAACAAATAAATTTCAGGAACTCAATAAGAGCCTAGAGGAATTAATCACAATCAGAGGTTCAGAACTCTCCTGCAAGGCCGCAACCCTACAATCTTACCATCAAAATTTAAGGAACAGCAGAGGCAATCAATTGTGTTGCTAAAAAAAAAAGAACAACCCATCTAAGATTTCAAGCATTTCCACATCAGCAGCCCATAAACTTTCGTGCACTTGGAATGAAACATCGAGGGAAAAAGCAAAAATCAGTAATAACTTAAACGGATCTCACTAATCAACATTGGCTGATGGATAAAATACTTAAAAAAAAATAATAAAGAAAAGTCTAGTCAAGAACTTAGTCATCGAACCATCATTGTTGATAATTCATTTTTGTGCATCAACTGCCCCTCCATGGCTCCATCCCCACCCCCACAAATGGGGAAGACAAAAACACACAATAACAACAAAAAAGAAAAGGGGAAAAAGGGCTTATCTGCAAGGATCTCCTCTCTCTCTCTCTCTCTCTCTCTCTCTCTCTCTCTCTCTCTCTCTCTCTCTCTCTTCTTCTTCTTCTTCTTTGTTTTTTTTTTATTTTTATTTTTTGTCTCAGAAAGGTATCAGGTCCTTTTCTGCCTCTAAACTATCACATGCCAAGATGTATAAGTGCCGTTTTAACTTAGATCAATATGTGCACATCTTTCACTGAGATCAAGATTAAAGCTGGAATAGTACAACTAAGTAAAAACACCCGAGCAACGAATCATTTATCACCCAACAAAAACAGTTTGAAGCAAAGGATGAGGGAAAAAAAAAAGCAAGAACTTGAAATGAAAAAACAAAGATCACTTTACCATCCTAAGGACTCCATTTTTTACGTCAGTTTTGACATGCAGAATCTCCACAGGATCAGAGTTGAAATCAAGTTCGCCGCGGTAATATCTAGCTCCAGCTTCATGATCCGTCTCTTTAGGGGCTTCTCCAACAAAGCTAACTTTTTTCTTATCCCAAGCCACCTTCACATTTTCCTCCTCAACCCCGGGCATGTCGACCCTCACATACAACCCCTTGTTCATCATCTTCTTTGCAGCTTCTTTCTTCTGTCTTGGATAAACATTCACCGTTCTAGCTTCGTAGCCTTCTTTTGGCCCCTCAATCTGGTATGGGTTCATCTGGAAAGGTCCCTCTGCACAAAAATAAAAAAAAAACACGAAAATGGTAAGTAAAATACATCATAGAAAAAGAGAAAAAGCCAAGGAAAATGAAAAGAAAAAAAATGAGGAAATGAGACAATAAAGCGAGATCTTTTTTTTTTCTCTAACCTGTACTTTTCTTCAAAGCGCCGGTGAGGGGATGGCGGTCGGTGGATGAGGAAGCGCTGCAGCTGGGCGCCACACCTTTGGTGGTTGAAGAAGTGGCCTTGGTCTTAGCTAGTTGTTTGTCAGCCTGAGCAGCCATTGTTAGTTCTTCTATGTAAAGGGGTTTTAGGAGGGTTTCTGTGCTTTATGATTTTCACAAGCACTAGTACGCCTAATAAGATAAAATTAGCAGCAGTAGACACAGCATCATATTAGCAGCAATTTTACTCTATAATCTTTCAGCTAAATACTAGAATTAGTGCCAAATTATCAGAATCTTGTACTCCACTTAACACTAGACACTATCATTCGTTCAAAATTTAACCCAGAGATTGAATAAGATTGTCATTTTTTTATTGCACTAGTTAGGAGAAGAATTGCAGATATTCCAGTGCAGTGCATGTCAGAAAGCATCCCAATTGCATGAATTTTTTGGATAAGGTGTGGAATACCCCAGCTGTCCTGTCCTCTGTTGCTGCCTCGGTGGTAGTGGTAGGTACTCCACTCCCGCTGCAATTTGGATTTTTTGGGAAACTGTCTGTACCAATGGGAAAAGATATATAATTACCCTCAGCAATGAGCGTTACCAATTTCGGATTGAGTCCATCTACAAGAAAAAAAAAACATTTCTAAATCACGCGACATTTTTGAACGATAGAAAGCATTTTTAAATCACGCAACAAACATTTTCGAATAAATTGTAAAAACAAATACAGGAATATGTAAAATTAAGGAGGTTAAAATTTTTTTTCTTTCAAAATATACCAGCTTTTCTCCCACCTTCTTTGTTTTTTTTTTTTTTTTTTTTTATAAGCAAAGAGAAACTTTATTAAACCACTGAGCTTTGATTCAGTGGCCACAAAAAAGGGATTAAATCTCTTTTTGAACTGTAGGTCAGGGATTTGAACCTCAGCTAACTATAGTGGGATTTTCCCACAACCTTAAATGGAGTACATTTCATTGCACATTAGTATTTCCAGCACATTGTTTAAGGGGATAGATCTAATTGGCTGTTTTTGATCATATTAAATCCAAAGAATGTGATTTCCGACTAACTTTACTTTATTAATCCAGAGAATGGCATACTAATTTTAATCTGATCAATTTGAAATCCATTGAGAGTGCCAAACAGCAATTCGAGTTTGTGAGTGTGAATTCAAGTATGTATTAAGTGTTGAGCCACATTTGACAGTAGTGTAAAATGGTGGTATTTTCTCCAAATAGGTTATACCATATGAGGTGAGATTGAAGATATATCCATCGCAACAGAATGAGGAAATTTTATCGGTTTCCTTGAAATGATATGAGATTTTACAATTTCAACGGTTTCGGGTTTCCATTTTATTTTACTTACACTTTCTTTACAAGAAAAGAATTTTGTTGCGTGCACCAATTGGTCCACCATGCAATGCAGCGTACAAAAACCACAGCATCTTGGCACTTAAAATCCCATAATGCAGCCAACCACGCACGCACGCTCTGTATATAACTTTTGACAAAAATCAAAGGCGTGAATCCAGAAGCAACAAACACTCCAAAAGTTAAAAACTTAGATTACTTACCAAAAAAGCTAGAAACATGTAATTAAGTTGGTGAGGGACAAACTACTACTACATTAATTTAGTCCGTCCAGCAAAACAAGAGCTAATTAATAGAGTACTTTTGAACCAGCTTTGTTTTGATCTTTTCCTTTTGAACCAGCATCCTCAAAACTCCAGCTTTGATATCAAATTGCACATCTTTCACGTTGCAGCACCCACAATACAGTCTGAATATTCCAAAATACGTCCTTGTACTGTTATTGTCATGCTCTGAGCCCTTGACGCCTTTGCCACCATAGAACACCGAGTTGTTCTTAGTTCGAAGGGAAAATCCTTCCTTCGAAACACCAGGCAAGTCAATCCTGCAGAAAAAGCCGAAATCATCTCTATCAGGAGTACATTTTGACTCCAGGGTTCCAGTTGCTCCGCCCGCTTGGAATGGATAGAACCCTTTAAGCTCAGCTGTTGCAACAAGAAAAAAGAACAGAGTAAATGTTAGAGAAAAACAATACTACAGTAGTATATTGTTCCTTGAACGAGTTATATTTATATATGACCTTCAAGTGTAAGCAAACATGGTAGTGACTGGTGTCAAATAATCAAATGTACCAAATGAATCAATAAAAACGGACCTGGTAGGGCTCTGAGGTAGAGTCTGTCCACAACCACAAAGGTATCACTACTCACTCTCCCCAAAACCTTGATACAACCATAGGATTCGAAATGACGGCTATTAGTAGAGAACCCAGGCTGGAAACCAGAACCCACCAAGACCTTTTAAGAACCAAAGGTATCAGATATATTCTATATGAACCAAATCTGAAATTTATATTGTAGTCCTGTCAGATTACATTACGGATATCAAGATTACCAATTAACCATGGCCTAAAAGGTAGAACCTCTTTCATGAATTTTTATCCTGTAATTACTGCAAGAATTTCCAGCAGGATAAACTTGAAGGCACGTGCCTCTACAAATTCATACCAAATTAACTCGCAAAGATACAATACTGGACAGTTTAGATTCTTGCGTTTTAGGATTATATCTTCGTTACTCACAAAATTTTACGAGTGGAATCCAAATCCTAGTCATGGTATCAATTACGAGAAAATTAATCACCGTATCATTACTTAGGCCAAAGATCATTTACCATCGTCAGAACTCCATTTTGCAGATTAGTTTTCACTCCATAAATAGCAACTGGCCCAGAGCTGAAATCAAGTACCCCTTCGTAATTCCGTCCTCCAGCATCATTCTCAGTTTCTCTAGGGGCTTCACCAACAAAGCTGACTTTCTTCTTCTCCCATGTCACCTTTAAATTTTCCATTTCTACGCCAGGCATGTCGACTCTCACATACAATCCTTCCTTCACTGTCTTGGCTTCATACCCGGTTTTTGGCCCATCTTTCAGATCTGGGATAATCTGAAACGGCCCCTCTGCAAAACGAAACAAATAACAAAGAAAAGGGTAAAAGACAAAGAAACAGAAGCAAAAAAAGGGGAGTGCTTATCTTTCCCTCAAAAACATAAAGAAAATGAAGTGATTATCTAAGATGATAGTAACCAAAATACTCTATTATGAAGAACAAGAAACAGGAAAATGAGGAAAAAACAAAGAGAAAAAATGAAAGCAAATTTTTTTTTGTGAAATAGTTTCTAGTACATGTTAAGCTCAGATTAAACACAAAACATTAAATATCTATGAAGTGCTTTTCTTTCCTTCAAAAAATGAAAATGAAATCATTATGCAAGATGGAAAAAAAACCCCGAAATACTACTCTGAAGAAATAGAAAGAGCATGAGAAAAATACATATGAGAAACAACGACCAAAAAACCAAAAAGAAAAAGAGGAAAGAGATCTTCTTTATTTTTTATTTTGTTTTGGTTTTCTCTAACCTAAACTCTTTTTCAAGGCTCCACTCATCGGATGCACGATGATGGACTTGGAAGTAACATCTGGGGGAGTTGAGGAAGCAATCTTTGGCTGCTGTTGCTCAGAAGCCATTTTTTGAGGTTGAGAGGTTTCAAGAGGGTTTTGAGCTAGCTTTTGATGTTTCTTGAGAGAGAAAATGGCAAGTTTAGTAGTATAGCAGGTTGGGTTGACGTTTTCACTAGGCTTAGACTAACAATAAAAGGGTTCTATTGGTATAAATAGGAAAACTTAGCTAGAATGCCAATATTGGGATTAGCTCATAACGAAAAGTGAAGCTACCTAGTTAATCAGCAAAAACTAGTTTTCTTGGCCAAATAGTGGATAAGAATGCCTTTTTTTTTTCCGTAGTAGGAGCTGATATTGTACATTACTTTTGATTTGTTTCACCCTATATTCGGGCTAGTACATCCAGTCCTATATCTGGTAAGGAACTGGGGGGTGGGGTGAATGGTACTGCACTGCTTCATTATAATAGTTTCTGTTTTTATCAGTTTTACTTCCATTTCTTGTTATAGTATTTTGGTTTAAGATTATTTGCAATGGACTTCTTAATGAATAATGAGCCATTTGGATCCTATCTTTCCACAATGTGAGTTTGAACTAATTCAACTTTGCTACAAAGAAATGGAGCAAATTGGGGACAATGTATGGTCCTATGTATAGTTCAATCGTGATGTCTGTTTAGAGTCATTTGACAACGCTCTGCAGTTAGAGCTGTTAATCGAACTGGGTAGTTCGTGAGCTGAGCTCGACTCTACTCGTTAAAGACTTGACTCAGTTCGTTTTTCTCAGTAAACGAGTCAAGTTCAAGTTCTAAACATACTCATTTATGAATCGAGCCGAACCGAGTTGGACTCGCGAACTACTCGACAGGCTCAAAATATAAGAACATTAGTATCATTTCATGGCTGCCCTAATTTTTCTTTCCCCTTCCTTTTTCCATAGCCCACTATGGTCGTTAAACTCGACTCGATTTTCAAATTCGAGTTCGAACTCAAAACCGAGTTTGACGAGTCGATCTTGAACAATATTTGAAGCTCGAACTACCATAGTTATTAAACCCGGCCCGGCCCGGCGGTCGAACCGGTCAAACCGGTGGACCGGTCATTAGATCGGGCCGGGTTTGGAATCAGATCGTTTGTGCAAAGAGGCCGTTGACTTAGTCAACGACCCGGTGGTCGAACCGGATTAAACCGGAAACCCGGCCGGTTTTGGCCGGTTTTGTCACTAACCGAATTTTGTGGAAAAATTATATTGCTATTGTTGGAACTCAAACTTCGAACCTCTACCACAACACTACCGCCTGCTTACCACCAAACTACTTCCAAATATGTTGATATAGTAGCTTTATTATGATATATAAATGGTTTTTCAATTTTATCTTTTTTTCTCTAAAACAAATTTATTTGGAATCTTTTAATAAAAATTTATTACCCTCCAAACTCTATAAGTTATAAAATGGATTCCAAAAATAACATATTACATGATTCATTTAAAGACAAATATTATTTTTAATAATTTTTTACACTTAAAATTCATAAATAAGCTAGATAATTACACTAAATATAGATAAAATTTTACACTTGAAGTTTGGTATATTAATAAATAACTTTATATTTGATTGATTCTTATATGAATTAATTATTTTATAACAAATTAAATTAAATGAGCTTTTGTTATGGCATTATTTATTACAATTTATATCATATATCTTATATAAATAATTATGAAATATAATATTTAAATATATGTAGTGACCCACCGGTTCAACCACTCACCCACCGGTTCAACCAGTAACCCGTTGACCCACCTCCTTCGCCGGATTCCTTCTCGGGTTGGGTTTAATAACTATGCGAACTACTAATCGAGTGAGCTCGAGTTAGCTTGATAAATGTTGAGTCGAGTTCGATTAGCAGTTGCTTGAACTCGACTCGACTCGACTCGACTGGATTAGCAGCACTCTCTGCAGTATGTGAAACCAACAAAAATAGGAAAACACTTGTAAGTAGGTCTAAGACAATGAACACCTATAGATTGAAATAATGAGGTCGAGTTAGATAGACTCTATTGAATTTAGTTTAATGGAATATAAGTTTTGTTTAAAATAACATGACTTAATCTTGACAACCTCATTTTCAGGCAGCAAGCAGACTTGTGTCTATATACTTGCAATAAGAAGTAATTACAACGATAATTACTCAACATATTTTACAAGAAAATTTTGCATTTCAACTAAAGAATTTATTTATGACGTAAAGATCTTTCCACTGCTCCGAGCAGTATCCGAGTAGCTTGCAATCTTTCTGTGTACTTGGAAAAGCAAAGTCATAATGCATATTTAAATAGGTTCGGCACAAATGAAATGAAGCATTTTAAATAATTGGAATACATTATTATCTTAGTTATCACCAAGGTGTACAACCTGTTCCAAATAATGTTTTTTTTTGGCCTTTTTTCTGTGACAATTAGGACATGACAAGGTCCTGTAGAAGAAAGGTTTGTGACCTTAATTTTATGCGTGGAAGAATTCTAACCTAAAATGAATGTAACCAATCAACTCCAAAAACAGCTGAACACTCGTGTAATTATGAATTTGCACAAGCTTATCATCGTCTAGCATTCATTTATTAACCCCAGATGGGCTCTATAATTTGCCTGGTAAGATAGTGAGACTTGAAATTCGAGGAACATATCGGCCACTTAGATAATGGTCACAGAGATCTTGTATGGATACTTGTGCAATCAAGCAAAAATGCCCTGGCTCAATCCTCTCAGCTAAATTAATAAAATCCATCAAATTGGAAAAGGTTCTACAACTACAGATGTAGGAAACAATTCAAAATCAACAACAAAACTGAGCAAGAAGCAATGCATACCACGTTTAATTAATAAAGCTCAATGGTTTCATCAAGTGGAACCAAAGAAGGATTATTGAAATGATTTCAACTAAAAAAATTCTCCAACTAAATAGTTAATTGGAGCAATCACATGGACAATTCAACCGTATTTTCTTGAAATTCATTGCCCATGAAAGCAAAGAAAACAAGAGAAATAATCACAAACGCCATATTCACTCTGCAAATGCAGCCCAACACTAGGCTAATTCAATTGCTAGTAAGTACTGATTACTGAACATAATCCAACCAAAAGGTTCCCAATAAAACCCATGATTGTTTTGTTAGGAAACTCACTCAAACTTGGCCTAGATTAGTACTCTCTTTGTTTGGAATCAACATTCTAAGAACACCATTCTTCACGTCAACTTCGATCTTGCCTGCATGGAAAGTGTCTGAAGGAATCTCAATGGTAGCACTGTAAGCCCTTCTGAGTTTCTCAAATCTTGACTGCTTATTGTTTCCTATCCCCTTCACATAAACAGTCCCGTATTCATTCCAAACCTTCACATCCTCCTTATCAATCCCCGGCATCTCCATCCTCACGTACAACCCTTCATCCACATGGTTTATCTCGTAAGCCCCGCGCGAGCCCGAAGTCTGGAAGGGGTTGATGTATTCATCAGAGTACCCACCTGAAATCAACAGAGAAACGAAATCTAAATCGACCCTTTTCACCAGAAGAAGCAAGAAAAACAGAAGAAATGTGGGGAAACTAATTACCGCGTTCAATGGGAAACTGTTCAGAGCGGGGATAAGAACCACCCAGGGCATTGAGGGTCACGCGCGGTTCGTCTCCGAGGATAATAGGGATGCTGGAAGTGATGGAACTAGTTGTTATTGGGGCAACGCCGGCGGCGGAGGGTTTAAGAACGGTGCCGTTGAGGAATCTGGTGAAAAGGGCGGAGGATGCAGGTGAGGCCGCGGTTCTCCTCATAGCCATGAGGAAAGCCATGGAAATTGAATTGACTTCTTTTCCAAGAATTCACAGAATCTGGCAGGTTTCTCCCACCGCTGAGCAGTAGTAGTTTTTTACTGCTAATTCTTGTTGTACAAGAAAAGGACCTCATACGAGTATTAAGTATAAACTACGAAGGAAATTAGGATTAAATAAAATTAATAGAGTTTGACTTGGACCGGAAATGAAAATTTTTGTTGAGTCATTTATATTGCTATTTTCTGTAGTTTTTATTTAAAAATATATTGAATTACTATTTTTAATTAAAATTTTTATAAAAAAAAATATATTGTATCGATTTAAGATGTATGAAAGATAAAAAAAAATAATTAAAAAATATGCTCATGAAAATATAAAAGCTGTTTGAAAAAAAATTGAAATCCAAACAAGGCTATTATTATTATTATTATTATACTTTGGTAGAGGTCCAATTGTAGGTTAGTACTTCATATACATTAAAAGAAAGCTATTATGCAGGTCTACTTTTATGTACGTTAGTTATCATCCATTCTTTTATTAACATATTACCACAACAAATAACCCAAAAAGAGTATAAAAGGTAGCTTTTTTATTTGGAAACAGGAAATTAAAAATGTTAGTATACTGTTTCAAATAGTGAATTAATGTTAAATAGCAAAAGATAGAGCCATTTCACACTAAAATAATTTTGATTTTATTCCCAACCAAGAAAAATGACGTTGACCAAAACAACACCTATCAATTATTTCGTTTCCTTACCACTCAATTGAAGGTAACCAAAAAGTAGTTAAGTGTCAGCGTTGTGGGCTTCAGCATCCCAGTGGCCAGTGAGCCCTTTAACTTTGCTTAGAAAGCCCAAATCTCCCTCCGAGGAACAACCCATTCACACGTTAATTCATGTTTTGATTATCTGATGATTGATTCTGAAATTGCGTTAAATTGTTCTTATTCATTTTTCTTGTTATGTAGAAAGAACAAGCGTGCAGTTGTTTGGTTCAGTTGCCAAATCTCGCACAATTTTGCCAAAAGAATGCATATTACTAGCTTGAACGCACAAGGCAAAGATAGGCTAATCTGCACAAGAATCGCCTCCAATTAATTCGCATGAAGAATAGGGCACTAGCCTAATCACCTTCTCTTACCTTACCAGTCCATTTTTTTTTTTTTTTATAACACAATAGTTCCAGGTTTTGGCAATTATTTTCCTAAAAAGAACATCAGTCACATAAGCAATTTATTTGCAGATTGTTTCAGATTTGCAGATAATATGACTGATTTCTCCTTCCTACACACGAGAAAAAAAAAAAAAAAAGTAAGGGAAAAACAAAAGTAACGAAGAAGAAGAAGAAGATACAAGCTCAAAACAGAGATATCATTAATTATAACTCCGCTTCTTCAAGTGTCTAGACAGCCAGCATTTACAAACTCTTCCCTCACTCATAATTCACATTTATTTTCCTTAATCCATACTCTTAACCCTGACCACAAAAAGCACTAAGCCTTATAAAAAAAAAACTCCCAAATTAAAGCCTCAAAAACAACCCTTCATCCTAAACGTGTTTCTTGATCATTCATGTTACGCAGAGAACCTTTAATTTTAATCAACCTTAACTTGGAACGCATCTTTCCTCTCTTCCTCCTCCACTTTGGGGACGATTACCTTCAACACTCCATTCTTCATCTCAGCCTTGACCTCCTCAATCTTGTACAGATTAGGCGGCAAATCAAGCCTGCTCGAGTACCTCCTTCCATGTTCCTCCTCCTCTGACTCTTTCACGCCTTCTCCTTTAATTACCAGAGTGTTCTGCTCTACCGTGACCTTCACATTTTCCTTGTCCAGTCCTGGCATGTCCATCTTGATGTACAGCGCTTTTTCGCCCTCCCTAACATCCCAGCCCCTCCTCGACACCGCCGCTGGCCCAAGTTCCCGAGCAGCTAGAAATGGGTCTTCCATGACTCTGTCCATCAGGTTCAGCAACTGGCTCACGCTCCTCGTCGGTGAAAATGGAGTCAACACATCTGCTCGTTTTTTAACAAGGAGAACAAAAATGTTAACCTCCTATTCCGCACCATTATCCAAATCAATCAATCATCAAAATCACATTTCCCATACCCAACTGTCAAGAAAATTTTGAAGAAAATAGCTAACACCATTTCATTATCGAGTATCGATCGTTGAATTAACCAGCTAACATCAGGCCAGTATCAATTAAGGCATCGAAGATCTTTTTGTTTTAAAGAAAACGAAAAAAAATTTCCTAAATGGCTCTAAATTAATTGACTCGTACACACAACAAAGACAAAGGAACAATTTTGATGAAAGCAGGGGAAATCTAGTACCTGAAAAGAAGCTGGGGAAAGAGTCCCGTCGGCGAAAGACACCGCTTTCGGGGCGGCGTTCGACGTCAACACTCCGGTCACCCTCACCATAAGTCGTCATCTGAGCATTCGTATTGAAAGAACGCACCATCGAAGGAGCAGCTGCAAGGGTACGGAGAGAGCCAACATCGATAAGCTTCATGAGAAGAGGTGAAGAAACATTCGCAGCCCTTCGGAAAGCAAGTGAGGAAGCCATTTTCGAAAGGGTTGCCGAATCTGATTTCAGGTTGTGAAAGAGTACTAGTAGAATATCAAGCTTTGCTTGGTGACTGACCGTTGTGTACCAGCGGAGAATGGGCGGAGTGGCTTTATAAAGGAAGGCGGTGACGTGGAGAAGGGGAAAAGGAACGAGCTGGAATCAGCGGGAGGCGCATCTCTCTCTTGTGTGGAAAATTCCAGAGTGTGAAGAAGTTTCTGGAGGTTTTGTTCTAGAATCAAGACTTCAGGACTTGGATTGATCCATCTCAAGGATTAGGAATTCCCTCCATTGGCACGTCCACAAAGCTGAACTTTGGGCTTGGTTTGGTTGTGTATGTTTTTAAATTCGGACCGGACTTGTCCATCCGATCGATCGAATCAAGAATCAGTCGAGTCTTTGGTCCAAATTATTCTAAAAGATCAGGTGGATAAAAGCTCGATCAAATACGATCAAAAACCAAATTTGACTGGAAGAGCTGTTTGGAGTCAAAAGAAAGGTCAAATATTTTTAATATTATATTTTGACCTCTAAGTTGTTAAAAATTATTAATATATCTCAAATATTTCATACTTTATAAATGTTGTTCTAAAATTTGATGTTATTTTTCAATCAAGTCTATAATTTTAATTCTAAACTTGTTAATATTCATTAAATAATATAAATTGCTACTTAATCGTTCTAATTTCTTTGTATTTTCTTGTTAAATATATTTGAAACATCAAATATATATGAATATACATTTATTAATATTAACATGCTCTTAGGTATATTACATACAATATTTTAATTTTTAAATAATTTTTATTTTTGACATCATTCGATTCAACCCCGATCGAACTCATTAATCCCTGAGTTCGATCGAGTCGATGCTCGGTCCCAGACTGAAAACATAAGTTGTGTACTATCATTATTAGGGGTCCAGCGAGTTTGGCGCAGCTAAGGCCTGATCATAGGACCCAAAATTAGGATACAAACTATAAGTCATTAAAATGTGAGATCCTAAATCCTATGTTAAGCGATGATATGACTTAACCAACAATTATAGACTAAAAAGATGGTCCACTTCATTGATTTTAGGAATTTTATATTGTCGTATCTATCGTTTAAAGATGCCGTGATTTTGAATCGCTTTTTATAAGTGGACTCAAATTTGAGAGCGTGGGTTTATTTGTTAAAAGAAGAACCTAAAAGAAAAAGTGAAAATAAATCGAACAAAAATAGATGGACCATAATTGTAATTATATGCATTTACGTCATAAATTAATTGTATATTAAATCTATTACCAAGTTCTTAAGAAAAAAAAAATTCAATTTCACATGGAATACATTAGATTATTGAATAAAGTTCAAATGCATTTTGCTTGCAAGTCTGTGCAAATGCACACTTGTGTCTTAATACTTTGCATAATGCGTGCGCATATGTTTGGTGTAAAATACCTTTTCACTTATCATAAGTAACATTTGTGTAAGTAACCGTACACATACTGCATCCTATGGTTAACATTCTGTACAAATGGAGAGTGTTGTAATCCAATTTATCCTATAATATTGCATTCAAAAAAATGAAAGAAGGGACAGAGCATTGACCAAAAGTTCTTCCATTCCTCCCAATGAATCATCCATCAGCTTCATCACACTAACTTTTTGTACTGATCATAAGACCTTAAGAATTAAAAAAGAAAAGGTTAAAAAATGACGGATGTACTGTAGGAGAATCAAAATTCTTGCATAAAGGCGACAAAAAAGGTTGACACTGATAAATCGTAGCACCAAAATGAACAATTCAAACGGGATTACAATGCAAAATAAAATAACTCAATCTTGAAAGAGTAAAAATCCCATTTCTAAAATTTTAGAATAATCTCCAACTTCAAAATTTTCATGCAGGACTATTTAATAAAAGAAATGCATGTATGTAAGACAAGAAAGTTCTTCGAATAAAAACCGTGATGAAATCACAATATGTCAACCACCGAGAAGAATAAGAGGACACCACACAAAAGAAGAAAGATCCACCTAAATTGGCTGCGACTTACCTGGGCCTGGAAGTCAACCCCAAAAAGTCAGAAATCCTGCCAAAAATAGATGGAGTACCCATAATTGTCTCGCCATCATGCCATGGGATTTCCTGCATTCGGAAACCTAAGTAAACTTTTCAATCTTCACAAGCTAAAGCGAGATCCAAGCAAAAGAAAAATCTAACGGGAGTAATCTTGAATTTTGACACATGCTTTTTCATGAACAGAGCATATCATCTAATAGTGGACGATGGTTATCTTAAAAAGTGCCTAATTGTTCTTCAACTGTAACGCATACAGAAGAAAGGAAGATGTAAACGATTGTCTAGTCTTTGTATTCGAGCTCAAAAGGTATAAACTCCTGCACATATTCAGTGCATAAACTATGGGGCGAAGGAAAGTAAGCGGATCAATTAGAGTTTGAGTAACAATTTTGCTGATTGCCGACCATAAGAAAGGAAATATGTTCAGGGACTTGGCAACAACCTGAGAATTATTCGAACTGTCATCTTGCATCAGCAACACCCTTTCTGAGGAAAATTCTTCTGACCCCTCTGCAACTGGAATTGCTGCTTTGGGTGACAGAGTATGAATCGCTCTCAGTTTATGGTCCTTAACCAGTCCGTCCTCGCCGAACTGTAACAGGATCACCACATTTCCATGGTTATCATCTTCATGAATTAGCAAGTCCAGTGCCTATGCACTCTCACTTTGCTCGAGGACATTAATAGACACTTCAAGAATAATAGAGTTACCAGGTCCCAGTTGATGTCTTTTTCCGTGGTACTGGGACTAACAACTGCACTTCGAATGAGAAACTTGTCCTTGCTTGGTGCATTCGGAGGAGCTTTCTGAGCTTGCATTGTCACTGAAGCAAAGAAAATTAACAAAAGAGCAAGAGTTAGTGAAGGATCACCTGCTGTACCTTAAAGAATCTTGAAGACTGGGAAGATGTTTTATACCACATTGCCGAAATTTTTGTCTACCAGTAAGAGTTTTACACTCAATATCCCTTAAAAAATGGGGTGTCAAGTAGAATTTGAGCAACAAAGGGGTTGAGACCAGAAAGGATCTTCATTGTGCTCGGTTTCACCAAGTCGAAGACTCTAATTTCGCATAAGAGTACAATCTAGCACAGGTTGCTATTGATTATTTTCAAAATTCTGGCATTAGAAAGAAGCAAAGTTTGTGCAAGGAAAGGGAGGGGTGACTGGCGAAAGGTAATCACACCTGTGATACTAAATGTAGATTGAGGAACCATAACACCTCGGATTGGTCGAGCACTGTAGTTCTTCGGGTTTGTGGTCATGACCTGAAGACAAAGTACTTCAGACTTCAGCATGTACAAGAAGAACTGCAAACGAATTTAATTCTTGTTTCAAATGGATATGCTAGAAAATTCTGAAAACCCTCCACCGACATCATACAAATGAAATTCGATGAACCTAAAAATATCTGCAATTGTAGAATAGATGAGAATGTAAATTCTCTAAGGATTAATATGCCCCTAATATTGGAAAATCACCTTGAAAGCAACATAATTTGCAGTCGTATTTGAAAATTGGAGAGAACTGGAAATCTGCTTATTCGCCTCAACTGTCCAATACGTCCAGTTAAAGACAACAAAAAGAAATCAAACAAACGTGAGTATAACTCCATAGAAAGAATGGAAAAGGTTTGGGGTGCTTACAAGGAAATTTGATGACATCAGGCATCTCCATTGTGCTCATCTTTTTACCCTCAAAGACAAGAAGAGAACAGTGTTAATTTGCATCAGTTCATAATGAAAAGGTACCTGTAAAAATGAGGTACTTGGCTAGGATAGAATATACAGGTCAGCTGGTCTATTCATAACACTTATCAGATGAATAATGATGTCATGAGCCCAAACTAGCTTCATTGTAAACTCATCAATCTGAATTCTGGGTACTTGTGTGGAAAGGAATTTTTGCAAAAGCATTTACTTTTACATTTTATTTCATTGATGCCAAGCAAATTTAACTGTGCAGACCAGTTCTATCTTCCTTATGTGTTCGCAGAGTACCTCAAGAAAAATAAAATCCAGGAAAGGTAAAACTAGAAAATTGTCAAAACTATAAATTAAGTGCTGAAGGTAGAACTCATTTTCATAGGAACATAGACATGTCTTGGTAGTGCTATAAGATGTGATCATTGAAATACATGAAAATACAAAGGTATCTATGGCCTTCTGAAAGGAGGCACATAGTTGGGGAGAAATCATCACTGAGCCTCTTCAGTAGAGGCAAGACAACATTTTTAGGCAAGAAGAAAGCTAAAAATGCCTGATAAAAATGCTGATGGAAGACATTCGTTTTCTGATTCATACAAATGTCTATCCCTTAATGGAAATGCTTTTAGTTTCAAGATGATCTTTTGGTGGTTTTGATATACATTTTCTAGCTCTTCAGCATCGACTTCCCTGATTTTGATAAGGAATCTATTCCAGTATACACAAGTTGGATGATTTGCAGATTTCTGCACCTAAACTAGTTGCTTAATGATACATTTCCAGAGAATGTAAATCTTGCTTCTAGTTCTGATTTTCACTCCAGATGGTTTGTAAACTATTTGCCACATATTAGTAGAAAACATATCAGGCTGGACAGAATCATAGTTTGCACTCCAATACGATCCTAGAATACAACATCAAATTATTGAATGCATGCTTCTATGTACCGATGTAAAAATCCAACTAGGATGTGTATTTGTAGGCTATAACCAAAAGGTTTGACATGAATTTTAAGAACTGATGCGGGCATACAAAACAACACAAATTTAAAACAAGGATTCGAAATCAAACATTCCGAATTTACTAGTTCAAAACAAAAACTGTGCAGCTATATAAGACAGAAAACCTGAGAAGAATTCAAATGTGTGCCATCTGTTAGCAATGTGTTGGCTTGCTCAGACTCCAGCGAAAGTGGTAGAGCTGTGGACAGGTAAACAACTGGCAATTTGTATTCTTCAATAGAAAACCCTTCCTCCTTATCAAACTATACAAGAGGAAACTCCAGTTTTAATTGCATATAATAAATGCAGAATAAGTGGGTGATTACAACTTTTGACTTGTTGACAATGGCATCAAGGAAAATTGTAAAATTTAATTATGCATATGCAAGTTTGCCATTCAATTAGTAACTCTTGACAAACTCATGAATTGATCGCACAATCATATGACATACCACATTCTTGGTGATGTGGTTTAAGTCTGCACATGCGCTGACAAGGACACTTTGAATCTTAAATTTGTCCTCGCATTGCTTGGCTGTGCAGGGCTTATTCTGAGCTTGCATTGTAACTGTGGAGATTGAAGCAAGAGGCATAATATTCAGAAACAGCACCTTCTTTTATCAAATACAAATACAATGAATGCAGGAGAACAAAGGAAAGTTACATCAATCTCAGAGAGCCCTTTTTTTTTTTTTTTTGCAAGAGCATAAAAAACAAATAGATCAATTCATCAAATTTAGGCTTCATTCAGGAAAGACCAGTTTTCGACCCTCATACAGTTCAGTTTCGACGAGACTTGTATCTCATTGAACTCAACAGTGTCGGAGAAATTGTTCCAATGGAAGGGAGAAATAACACAAGATTTTCATAGTTTCAATAACCAAAGAATCAAACACCTAAGACGATGTTTTGATTTCTTTTACCTGTCTTAATAAACAGAGTTGAAGAAGAAAAGCAAACAAAGGAAAAAAAATTGTTACCACCTGTGATACCACATGTTGTCCCTGGCAAAATAATTCCAGTGTTTGGGCGGACAACATAGACAGTCTTATTGGTCGTTAAAACCTGTAAGTGAGAAAAACAATGAGATTACAAAAGCCTAACCTAACCAACCAGATTAGAAAATCCACACATAGGGTATTGAAGTGAAGTATACCTTGAAAGCAACAGGGCTATTCATCAAATTAGACAAGTGAAGACAGCAAGATATCTGCTTCTTTGGCTCAACTGACCAGACAACCAATAAAAGACTGCACTGTTAAATAACAAATGCAGAAGGAAGAATAAACTCTGAGAAAACTTGATTGCAAAACAATAGGGACTCACTCACAGGTAAATCTCAGTTCCGAAGGTTCTATCTTGAGAAGCCTCCCTCCACTTGGCGTCTTTTACTCTCATAAAGTAACAAAAAGAGAGAATAAATATTCAGCAGGACCAATAAAAAGGCTTGGCAGAAGAAACTAACTGCCAACTGTTTAATACTTATCACAAAGCTAATCAATGATGAAAAGTAATACGCGAAAATATTTCACTGGCTAATGAAAAGAGTTAATGTTTAGCTTGATTCTGACAAACCAATTACCTCGATCATTATATAACTCAGCCCATTTGATTACAGAATAGCTCAAAAAAAAAATGTTTTCTGCCTATCTCAAATTTCATGCCAAAGGATATTGCAGACTCAAGAAATGGGAAAACAGACAAAGATGATTAGCATTATGAATTCTTTTGCAGATGTCCAGCTAATCATTCTCACGAGTAAATGAGCATGTTTTTTGCACATTAAACCCAGAAGCAAAGGCCCTTTACCTCAGAGGAATTGTCAAGACTACGAGTAGATGCTTCAACAACCTGAAGATACCAGCATCCAAAGCTTTTTAGAACATTCAAAAAAAATAAAAAACAAAAAAAAAAGGAACTCTCAAACTCATGCAAACCTCCATTGTCTACAGCCAAAAGTGCTCCGAAAACAAGCTTTGTTGATGTGGGAGAATTCTTGGTTACATGTCAAAAATACAAGAATGCTTCTTGTTAGTCTCTATAAAATTAAAAGGCAACATCTAATGCTATTAGGATTCTATTATAGTAGTATAACAAAGTCAAGTCAATTGGGGAAAATAGTTTAAAATGTTTAAGAAATTACGTAGAACATAATAATGGTAGTGCAAAGCCAAGAACATATGGAACCACATCAATTAATGCCAAACTTTTTTTTTCTTTTTCCTCTTCTTATTTGGAGGGGAACCAAACCATGTCAATTACTTGTTTGAGCCTTTGAGGGTAGAAACATTTCATTTGTTCAATGAAAGAAATTTCATTTGAAACATGAAAATTACTACGACACGGCCGCACAATCTCGTACGGCAACGATAGTTGTGAAACTTCCTATATTGTGCTCTTAGGATACTTTTCAAATTATGAATTCCATCTCGATCTTGAAGTCAGCTAATAATAGTATAGTTGGAGGGCTAGAATTTTGTGATTTAAAGTCCATGTTTTACATTATCAAAAAAAAAAAGTCCATGTTTTATGAACTAAGATAGCTTCTTGATAGATAAGTTGTGATTCAAATTCTTGTATTTTACAAAGTTTAGATTTATTGCGATAAGCAAAATCAATTCCCTGCTGCCCTGAACTTCTCTCTTTTTCTTTTTTTTTAATGCTAATTAATAGCATAGGATGGTAGAAATTATTCATTTTCGTTGAAGAATTTTATTTATTTAGCTAATGCTGAGTTTTCTACATTTTATTTTCATGATATATAAAAACTGTTTAAATAGTAGATTATTTGGGATAATTTCTTTTTAAAAAAAATATACTGTAGCATTTTTTTTTTCTGAATGTGATATATGTAAAATAAAAATATAGTTAAAAAATGTATTAACAGTGTAAGCAAATAATAATTTGACAAATAATCTCTGTCTAAACCAACCCTATGGAAACATAAGTTTACAAATGAATAAAATATTTTACTTTGACAATTTTATTGGATCAAACAAAATTTTTAGCAGGTTTGACAAGAAAAGTCGAAGATTATCTGAAAGAAGCAGGTTTGACAATACAAAGCATGAAAGGACTTCAATGTGTGATCATCCAGTAGTATATCGGCAGTTCAACTGCTGAAGCAGAGCTTTTATTATATTAGCCAAATTCCCCATCACTTGAAAGCCGAATCAAAATTTATTTTATTTTCAAAAAAGACTTCATCCGTAGGAGTAGTAGGATATGATATGCTACTCTAAAGAGGACAAGGGGCCGAATGATTATCAAGGAAATCGTTTTGGACGATTTTGTGTAAAATACATGCCGCGCCATAATTTTATTAGCACACGATATAATTCACTTATAATTCACTTGTAAAGGATATTTCTTCGTCCCATTTGCAGGGTTATGTGTATTTATTGGTACCTTCTTATATTATAATCTTCTTGGCTGGGCTAATAGACAGACATCTTATATTGGCCTTGTCCTTGTTTCCTTTTTCTCTTTTACGTTATTGGGCTTGTCACTTTATTCCCTCCCTTCATCAAAATTTATCCCTTTTTTTAGATTAAAGTTGAGTAATCTCGTCTACTTCTTGATTAGAAGGTGTTTCAACATTAAAAAAATTAACGGTGTTTTGTTGTCAACTAACAGGTCTTCCGTAGTGTACGTGCTCACTCTTGCTGCCTAATGCCAATTTTTGTTTTGATTGCTCAGTAGCCTTCCTCAATTTGCTTATTTAGTAGTAATTTAGACACAATTTTATGAACCCAAGGTTAAACCTCATCATAATTAAGTAACAACAGTTGCTGCCACTACGGTAAAAAATGAGAATTGACAACCACCAATTTAAAAAAAAAAACACTATCAGTTTCAGAAGTTGCCCACCAATGCCACAATTTCGTGAAATGAAAGCCTTTCATATTCTATGTTAGAGAAATGGTCAAGACGCCCAGTTTCCACCCTGCCAGTAGCGACTTGCCTTTACCAGACAACAGCAAGAAGTCCCGTCCATTACTGTACATGGCTTAACTTGTACTGCCATGGCTCAAATATATCTAAACTTCATAACCAGATTCCTGCATACTTGCAACCTAAACGTACAGTTTCACACCAAAATACAGCAGATTACCTTGATAGCACGAATTGACAAACCCAATACGAAATATAACAGAAAATAATTGGATTATGGTGCTTAAGAAGAAACTATCTCCCAACATTTTTTGGGATTTTCAATGTCTTGCAAAGCAGTAATTTGTCCTACAAGATCAAACTGCATTTTTAAATACTAGTTGAATAACAAGAAATAAAAAAATTTCATCAACTTCATAAAAGAATACACCTATAATCCACCAGATCAAGTTTCCTGCTACACAAATGCTAACTATGCAAAATCAGTGTCCTCACTGGAAGAATTATGTCCTTTTCAATGTGTATCCCAATATGATGCCCAGCAAGCCAAAGACAATGACAATAACTACAGATACACCGCCACGACTTTTGTTGCTGTCATGCCTCAAGAGTTCCTGCACCACAGAATGTTTATAAGGATAAGCTACAACCATTTTTCAAATACTAGACAAGAAATCTGACACATAACAAAGTACAACGTACTTCTGTAATGATTCTAATTGCAACTGATTGTTGCTTACCTCTCAGTTCTGCATTTCTACAGTTTGTGATATATTTACAACAAACTTATTTGCCATTTCATAGAGTGAATCCAAACCAAACAAATAAAATTGGAGAAAAAGCATGATTGTAGGCAAATAACCAAGCATGCTAGATCTCACATAATAAGGGACAGGAAACCTTACCAATTCTTGACGAATTCTTTTACTATGTTGGACTGCAGCAGCTTTTTCCTCAGTTAACTTTGAAATGAGAGATCTTGCCTGAAAAACATCACATCATGTTCCTATTAGTTGTCAAAGTTAAATGCTTGAGCTGGATGGATGCAAAATGCAAATGGACGAAGACATGCATCTAAAAATCAAACGATAAAGCAAACTTAAAAAGGGAATAGCTAAGTTCTTGTAGAATCAACAAGCGTATTGCTGTGAGAAAATCAGAGGGTAAAGGAATACCATAGCCAGTCAAAAGATGTGTGCATAATGTTGCTCTTAAATCAACAATACCAAAAGAAACACTCCAAAATGATATGTGGAGACCAATATTTCCAATATCATTAATTCTCTATGACAAAAAACTACATAAATTATGTCATAGTGTCCAACCATTACTCCCATGTACCAAGAAAGACTACAAATCAAATAAGACTTTTGAAACTTGAATGCGTGTGTCTGGGTACATTTCTCTACAACTCTTTTTAGGGGGAACTAAAAAAGCATATTAAACTATCCACTTAAACCCCTAGTTCCTTGATAGTGTCTCAAGAACAATTTCCATTTGCTTCCAAACACAGGCTTGAAGATGAACGGGAGATCTGACCCAGATCTACCTAGACCTAAAAAAAAATACTGCTGTTTCACATTTGGAATATATGGACAGAGAGTTTGCACTGCTATGTTTCAAACATTGGTTAAAAGACTTGGCAATCTGACCAGCAAAATATTACTTTTGGCACCAAGCTGAACACAGTTCCAGACTAAGGAACTGGCAAAAGTACGGAAATCCATCCATATCTCGATTACATAGGAATATTATATTACCTTATCCCATCATCTGTGAAACAACAATAATATATCATTGCATAGCACAAAGGTAAACCCATCCCAAAATTACTTTGGAATAGTAAGTCCAGATTCACTCTTTTCCTTTTATGGTCCTTCCACCCAGAACTATCATCTTCATATAAGTAAGCTTGTATAGAGAGATGCACTAAAGATAGCGGTATTTCCCTCGAGTGTAGATCACGAAGATATGTGCAAACCTTAAATGGCTAGTTTGGACAATGGAATCCAAACATAAATAAAAGCAGTAAATGCTATGATTTATAGGATAATTAACTGGCACAATACAAAAGATATGCAATTCTAAGCACAAGCGAAGACCCGTAAAGTATTGAAAATTGAGCTCTCATATTTTTAATGTGCTTAGAGAGGAGCAAATGTTACCTCTGAAGATCTGTCATATGTATCCACAAACTTTCTCGAGACCTGCATGTACAAAAAGTTTTTCTCAATGCCAAGGTATTATCAATGCCAGGTAAAAGGAGTGAAGAGAACATCATAAAATCAGCCCCACCCCCCCACCCCAAAAAAAGAAGGAAAAAAAATGAAAAGGGAACCAAAATTGACCTACCTCAGAACCACCAAAACTCCCATTTTCAAATATCAATGGCCTAGGAGAAGAACCCTCTTCAGATCCTTCTGCAACTGGTGATGGAGGTTGTGGAGGGGATACATAAATAACTTTTAGTTTGCATTCTTCAACTAGATTTCCGCTCTCTTTGTTGAACTGTTAAAAGAGAAACCACTTGTATAAGATATGACGTGTGTTGACAATATACAGCTCTTCTAGCAAACCCACTTCTTTTAGCTTCTAGCATTTAAGACAGATAAGGAACATATGAGCACAAAATAGCTCAGAAAAAGCTTAAAAACAAATGAAAGGTTCAGCCACATTAATCACCCTAAAATCATAAATAGACAAACTAAATGACCAGACAAAATTACCATATCTCCAGTTATATCTTTCGGTGTTGCTCCAGGACTAGCAACTGTGCTCTGGAGCAGAAATTTGTCCCTGCACACCAAGTCAGCAGGAGCTTCCTTTTGCGCTTGCATTGTAACTGCAGATGATAAAAAAGTAAAAATTAATGACCAACACAAGGACCAGTGTTTGTATCGTCAATATAATGAGAAAAAGAAAAAAGCAAAATTCTTATCCAAAAAAATGGAAATCAACAACCCCACAAGGACCAGTCTTTGGTTCATAAATATGATGATGGAAAGAAACAGAGGAAACTTTTTATTCAAATGCCATTATTGGTAACCCA